TGTAGATAAATAAATTAGTATTGGCTCTTATTTTATGGCTTTATGAATTATGTGCAATTTCAAAATGTTGCATGTACTGTACTTACACCTTTGGTTCTTGAATAATGAATTTTATACTAATTGATGCTAATAATGAACCAGAGCTAAGAGCAAAGAAATATAGAGAAATATAGTATTGATGTTTGCCAGAAATAATCCTCCTTGCAGCGTCTGGCTTTAAATACCAGGGACTACGTGAAGTTTAAGGGTTAGGGCTAAAGGGAGAAAAACTGAACTACATTTTGATGGTCTTATAGACAGTTTGGTGTAAAATACAATATAAAAACTCCTTTATAGATGAATAACAGAAGAGGTTATTTGCTTTCCCCTTTGAAGTGTGCATCACTTAAAACTACCATGAATATATGTACTGAGAGAGAAATCAGGAAGGCTCTTTAATCTATTTCTGCATCGACACTTTTTGTTGCAGTGTATTGATATGAATGGATGTATCAAACATTCCAACAACATACTGTATTTTAAATCTTGTGTCATTAAAACTCACATGTGTTTTATTATCAACAGTGGTGGGATATAATCAATTTTCAGTTACTTTACTTAAGTTTATTCTTGTGGAAATTTTTTACTTTTACCTCCTCCACCACTGGAGCTTATCGTACACAAAGGGATGAAAGAGACAAAATTGTTTAACTGATGTATCATTTATAGCGCTACACTAGGGCCAGAATGAATGCAGATGTCTCGAAGTTGTGGTCACAGTACTTCATCATCTTGCTAGTGATAATGAAGAGGACATTTTTATAATTTCAAATGAAATGTTTCTATCACCTTAACAAATATCAGCAAACATAAAAACTGTTTGTGTGCAATCTGTCGCACAGTGTGTTGCTAGCTAAAAATACAGCTGCTATATTTCCCTGGGACAGAACAACACATAACTTTACCCAGAGATGGAGAGAGACGTTAGAAAGACAGAACACGAGAGGCAAGAGAGAGTCTGATATGAAGACAGCATAAATACTAAACAATTAGTAGGGGATGTAACATTTACTTACATATTGCTGCCTTCAGTTTATTCACAATGAGCAGTAAACAGGAGCACAGGTTAGCTCATCACATTATGCACACAAAAAACTACTGGAGTTACCAACAGAAAATTATTACCTCAGCAAAGGAAGTTATGTTTTTGATAGTGTTTGCCTGTTGATGTGCATGTCATTACGCCTGTAAGCACAGCAGCTCAAAAAATCTTGAATTCTGATAAAAGGCTGAAGAGTGGTATGATGTTAGCAATGGCTTACATCCACCAAGATCTTCAAGGTCAACTTAATGATTTATTGGTTGAAAATAAAAAAAAACCTTATAACTTGTGTGGTGTGTATTGTTACCTTAAAGAAAGTATAAAGATTTAAAATATGTCACAAGGTCAATAAATAGATCGATCTGAAGTTCACAGTGATATAGATATAAAAGATATAAAATGACAATAGGTTTGTAGACTGACAACAACAAGTTGGCATGAGTTGCATTTAAAAGATTATAATCATTTAAATACATAACTTTGATACATATATGGTGTTCTATTAGTATTATTTTTTCAAACATTGAAATTAATGCTGCACATGGATTATAGCCACATAAACAATGATACTCAAAATAATGTGAAATATATTCAAAGGAGTTTCAACAGGACAAACACCTGCACTTTGAACTTGTTTTCACTGCATTACAAACTTCCTAAAATATGTTTAAAAGGTACAAATAAATACTTCCCAGAGAGCGAGCCGCTTTGGTAGAGGTGTGTGCTTCCTTATTGCTTCTTATTGTGAGTTGTGTTTTCCTCACACGAAGCCACTACAACTGAAGATACAACAAACCTTGGGTACTCCCTCCTGCTGAATTCCAGTTTAACACTTGACTATAGTCATTTTGCTGTTTAGGCATAGAGGCAAAGTCACCCTCTACAAAGTAAGGCCGAGAAAATTGAGCTGTTGTTTTTTTAATTTTGCTTCACTGGTTGTGTCCTGCATAACAGATTCAAGATGAGTACATTTTTTAAAAATTACAATTTAGATCGGAATAACATTTGTATTCTGATTTACTAATATTACTTTACTGATAATATATTATCCTAAAATGCAGGCTAGCTTTGTAAAAACAAATAAATAGCTGGTAGAAATGTCCTTTAAAGAGATACTTGTTACTTTCTTATTTAGAGTACTTTTAAGAGCCTGTACTATTCACTTTAACTTAACAGAGTATCTGAGTAAAGACTGTCTCTATTTTTGCCACTTTTGTGATGAGAAAATGAGAGTAAAATAATAATAATAACAAAAAGTAACAAAACTCCCACCCACACAGATACACACAGAAAAAAAGAACATGCCATTACCTCTGGCCAAGATTGGCCTTGACTTTGCTTATCTGAGGCAGCACTGCTATTCATGCCCTAATTTGCTTACCCATAAGGAACAAAAATGAATTACTCTATGATTTCGATGCTCGCTCCCAAGGATATCCAAAAGTTATTTGTCACTGTATGAAGGAATACAAGAAATAGAAAAATAATAAGCTGGTTTAAAAAAGAGAAAGACGCCTAAAGTGATTTAGGATATTATAGCATGAAAAGGTAAGTTCAAGTTGACACTTACCATGACTGTCACTATATACTGCATATATGTATATGCATATATACAGTGTCTGTGAGCTGAATGACAGTGGTAAAATGGAAAATGGAGATGCATACTTTTAAAAGTCAGAGCTACACTACTTTTCACCACTTTCAACATCAACATGTCTATCATGACTAACTGACTACATCAGTGCCTTCACAAGCACTTAAGGAAAGAACATCAGCAAGAAACCCCAAAAGCTCCCATAGGACTTTGTCCCACAAAAATGTTTTGGATAATGAGCTGCCTGCATAATTCATGACAGTGTGACAGGTTGTTTAGTTTCCAGTGGTTATGAAAACTAATCATAAACTAAATACAGCACATCGACTTATTATTCTAGGGGTTATTTCAAAATTAGTCTTGGAACATGGAAAATAATGTTGGATGGCGAGTGTAAATGGTTGTGATTCTATGTGTAAGGGTTAATGTTTAATACTGTATGTCTTAGATATAGCCTAATAGAGTACATCTAGAAGTTAACAACAACAGCTTTCATAGTGAGAGGCAGAATGTGCTTTCGAAAAGCAGCTATAGGTGTAATTTCAGGATGTGAAAATGGCACTTTCATAAAGTCACATTACACCTTAACCTAAATCGAACCCCTGTGCTGCAAAGTAAACAAAAGCTAAGCTCTTGCTCTCTCTGAAGTGTTCAATTTCCAACTAAAATTGTGCTTAACCCACCAAGATCTATTCATCATGCAGTAACAGTGGCACTTAAGTCAAGAAAAACAAAATGCACAAAGGAGATAATTGCTTTAAAATAATTGCTTTTCCTCTTGGCTAAATGGAAAGGCTGATCTTTCACGATTCAATTATAAATATTCAGAATCTGATCTGATCAGCATGTGGCAGAAATATGGCTGTAAACGGTTTTTGCTCTACAAAAATATCCTCTTTTTTTTTTTTTTTTACCCCACATCACTGATTATAGCAGTATTTCAAAGTAAATGAAAAACCTGGGATAATTAATCGAGAAGCATGCTCCCACTTCCGTCAAAATAAGCATGTGTACAATTGCCTTGGGATTTCTGTGCACCTGAGGCAATTTCATAAAGCCTGTGAAAAACAGATTTATGCAGCAATGTATAACATTTGTACTCTGTAATTACTCCAATTTAGAGTTTTTGTATTACAAAACAGTTACTTGAAAATTTGATATCAAAAACAAAACTGCAGAGATGGTTGAAAAAGATCCACCAGTCAGATAAAGTGAACATTTTCTGATGTTTATCAGGTTGTTTTTTTTCCATTTATGGGTTGATTTCTGTGGTGCAGTGTTACCTGTGACACTTTCAGCATACAATATATGATACGGCTATAGGAGTTTGAGAAATGCCAGAGTGATCAGACACTTTTTTTATAAGATTAAATGGCTTTTTACAATATTGATGTCATACACATGCATAAGACAAAACAATTATTCAAATGTAAAGCTTCTGAAATTATATAATTAAAAAACAACCAAACAAAAAAAACTTCCTTTTGCAGTGAACTCTGCTGCATTAGCTAATTTTTTTAGTTGGCCATGATACCTTATCAGAGCAACTGAACTGCCACAACAAATTGAGTTTGTAGACCTGTTATCTATACACAGTAAAAATGAAAATAAGCTATTTTAATCTGAGTAAAGTTTTACAATTTAATCATTTAATTTAATAATTTATTAATAATTTTAATACATTTATAATTTAAAATTGCTCAAATAAAAACATTTACCACTGGCAACAAACATAATTTTGTCAGTCAAACAAACTTTCCTACATAGTTGCCCTGATATACTTTTTCAAAGCTGTGTAACAAAGACTTGCAAATTATAGCCACCGAAGAATAACTTTCCCTTGAGGGTTAGGGTTAAGGTTAGAATTAGCATCATGCATGTGTGCATCCTTTCAAGTGTACATGTATGTATATGCACTTGCAAGCATCTGCACAGACAGCACACTAACACAATGCTAGCCAAGGAGCCAGAGTGACGTTGTTAGTGAAACCTGAGCTGACGTACACATTTTCACCAGCCTAGCATGCTTTAACTACTTATCAGAGGTTCCACATTGGTGTCATATTATGAGATGATGGAACCAAAATGTGAACTGCAGACATTGTAGTTTCACAATCGTCAAAAGTCAAAAGCATAAGAACCCGGTGTGTGAAGTGACAAATATTACTTCAAAATGCTTTGAATGGCTAAGGGATCATGAATACTAAAGATGTGATATTTGATTTTATTTAAATTAATTTTGATAAGCAAATTGAAGCTCAGAAGGGGTTCAAATGTGTTCAAGAATTATCCATCCATCCATTCTCTCCCACTTATCCATTTCAGGGTGATGGTGCTGGAGCCTATCCCACCTACCTGTCCCACCCTCGACAGCTTGCCAGCCTGTGACAGGTAATCGAGAATTAATTCAACAATACTATATAACTACATACTGTATGCTTAATTTACGTGTGTCGTACTTGAACTGTACTTTACATGTTTAGATCATTTGAAAGAAGGAAGGGGATATTCCAAAGACAGCGAGTATAGCGGTACAGGCCAGGTACACAGAGAGACGGGGGAGCCGAATAGAAATGCAAGTGTTTTGGGAAAAAGTGAAGAAACAAGTGAAAATGTAAAATGAGTGCAGAATTGTTTCATCAGTCAACCAGGGGATTTGCAACAAAAGTACCTACGTGGATACTTCATGTCAAGTAAACCAAAACGTATCGGTCTGAAAAAAATGCTGTGGCTCCAAAGCATTCTTAATATCTTCCAGCTGTACATTTTTGGTAGTGCGCCCGGTTGTTTCAGTTGCTGGACACAACTTGTTATTGAGTCAGACTGACCTGATCTCCCCTGGATCTTCCGTAACCAACACGTCTGTCTTACAGCTGGCAATGGGGTTGATTGACAGTTCCACCGGTGGCACAACAAAGCTTTTGCTGACAGGCAGCCACAGCCCTTGGCCCAGACTGTAGAATGATCTGTGTTGGCATGATCACAAGACATAAATGCCAGTTGCATTACCATCACATAACCACAATTTGTTTTACACAAAAGCACACACTGTGTGCAAACACAGCAGTATTTGCAGATAGAAAAACATACAAAAGATTCTATGAAAACAACAATGAAACAATGAAACAACAATGAAAAACATATGTTTAAAATATGAGATGTGTGGTGAGGGTCTCACATGTAGAATTTGATGTATGTTTAATACGGATCATGGGCAATTTCTCAGTTATTTGCATCATTTATTATGTGATAGAATAAAAGAATAAAACATATAAAGATATTTGAACACATATTAAAAAAAGTCTTGTAATTTTCTTTTCCTTTTTTAAATAATTATTGTAAGAAGAAAGTTAACTATGAAGACTATGTGTGACTATATGCTATAGTCAAGTAAACCTTTTTAGTGAACAAGAAAATAAGTTCAAGCTTATAGTGATAATACTGTTTCAACACTGCTTAACATATTTTCTCCTCCTTCAATGTAAGTCCAGTTCATTGCTTATGAATGCAGTTTATATGACCTGGTCAGGGTGTTATGAATATAATCTGATTTTGCCAGAGACCTTTCTTATGAGTGAAGTTTAATAGCCATAACAGGCAACCCTGCAGACATGTTTCCGGGGAAAACACAACATCAGATATGATAATAGCAGAGCACATGGTTTAGCTTTGCATAATGCACTCAAATGCATCTGGACAGGTACTGTAGGCCACAAAATCCCAGAAAAACAGGGCCTGTCAAGAAGGTTCGCATTATGTATTTGCTATCAATCTCTCGTTTTACTTCGCATAAAATATATTATTGAATTTCTTCATCATTCGCCACCATCTTTACTTTATTTAACTTTATTCCCAGTTAAATATTGCTGACTTACAACCCTTACAACCTGGCAAACATGAATGGGTACAAGGTCTGGGCGGCTGTAACTTAGGGTGTAGAGCAGGTCATCTACCAATTGGAAGATTGGTGGTTTGATCCCTGGCTGTTCCAGTTTGCATGCCAAAGTATCCTTTGGCATTGAAAAAAGGTGGTCTCTAATGTGTTCATCAGTGTGAACGTGTGTGAACGTGTGTGAACGTCAGACAGATTGCACTTTGGCACAGAACAAAAGTGCTTGTATTAATATGGGAAAATGAGGTAAATTGATTAAAGCGCTTTGAATGTTCCAGTAGAGTAGAAAAGCACTATATAAGAACCTGTCCATTTACTATTTCCACACTTTTCTTTCATATGGATCATAGTTCCAAACATTAACATGGAAAACCATCAACTTGTACAAAACACAGCTGTCAATATATTGACTAAAATAACAAATTTCAGTTCTTAAAGACATTTGTTATGGGGCCCTCATGTCTTCATATCACAAGGTGCTTATTTTTTCATTGTTCCTTTTCAAGGAAAATGTAAGCAGCAACGCTGGTTTCCTATAAAACTCCCCATCTGTGAAAGCACTTGGTTTAGCTCCTCTATTCACTGTCATAAGACTGTCCAGCTGAAGAGCATTAGAGTCTTTTCTCCTCCTCCCCAGAACAGCATTGCTAGAAAACTGCTTCATCTTTACTCACTTTGTTGACTATCTGTATCAGCATGTTCACGGCTGAATCTATTTGTGTTCTGCAGCTGTATGTGTATGTGGTGTCCTTCGTCTTTCTTCTCTCGCAGACTCTCGGCTGACACAGTGCTTAATCTATGAAAGTTTAGTTGCTGCTTTTGTGTGCTAGTGATGCCCAAGTCCTATCTCCAACTTACTGTAGCGTTTTTAACTACTGAAAGATGAAACAGGGTTTTTCTTGGTATTTTGCCTTTAGCGCCTCATTTCTTACAGTGGACTCACAGTGGCTGGCAAACGCTGCAAGGTCATTGTGATAAGGAGTGAGATAACTGTGACAAAGAGCTGTTCCTACCTACGTATTGGAAGGGTAGAGAGCATGAAATCGAGAAAGATTTCACAAAATCAAAACTTTAAACATTCCATGCTTTAGTTACACAGTTAAGCAAAACTAAAGGGAAAATTGACCACATTGACCAGCTTTTTCTTTTAAATCTCTATAATCAGGTTTACCCTGAGATTTTCATTTTTACACTTCTTGGGAAAAAAAAGAAATAACACAATGACACCATCAAGGATGAGAAGTGTAACAAAAATGCCAGTAAAAGTATTTTAAAGGAATCCAATCAGGCCTGGTCCTTGGGCTATTCTCTACACACTCAGAGAGATCCACCATGGGGTGTACTTGTGTGTCCATTTGCCTTTGTCTATGTGCATCTGTCAGGTGCTCATCTCCATGCTCTGTCACACTCATGCACACACATACAAGATGACACAAGAAATGCCACTTTCATTCCATTGTGTGTCCACAGAGTCCACAGATGGCCAGCACAAGTCAAGCGCTGAGGAGGTGCACCAGAAGGGTCTTACCTGAAGATTCTCTCCGGGGCCTGCTCTCCTGTAACTAGGTCATACCCTTTCTCCAAGTTAGCATATGGCCATGGACTTGACAGGGGAAAGACGATAAAGGAATGCATGATCAAAGACAGTGATTTATCAGCATTTTTAAAATAATCTAACAGATGTTTTTATGTAATTCCATCAAGTCTTCTCATTTATATTGTTGTTTTTCATGCACAAAGCCTTTTAGTTCAGCATTTTAAGTACTTCAAAGTGTATATAATATTATGTATAAAACATATCTGAATACAAAAACTGAAAAACTGTCATTTAATTAACATTTCTGTCTGCTGTACAAGACTATACTGTGTCTGCTGCTACTCTTAAAAAAAGAAAAAGCAATGGGCATTTGATTGGTTACTGGACTGAATCCAGGGGATGACAGGTGCTGGTGAGTAACAATGTGAGACCAATGATGGGTTAGGCCAGCTAAGTGTCAAACAAGGTCAGAGTCAGAGGGATCATTTCAGTGCCTGTCAAGCACTCTTCAGTGACTTTACTTCTTTCCCATTCATGCGTTTCATCTCAGCCCTCCACTCCTGTTTTTTTTTTGTCTTGTCAATAACGTCGCTTCTCATTTCTAATTTCTTCAACCTATACACCCAATTCCCTTTAAAAAGACTACTTCTTCAAGCCTGTATTGGTAGAAGTGCATGTTTTATCATATTAACTACAAACTGCTATTTTCCAAACCATGTAGGAAGCGTTCTAAGTTTCTTTTCATTTTAATACTGAGATGATCATCCTGCAGAGAACTGCAAATCCATCACAGTGAACAGCTCACCTTTATTTTAGATAAAGTTAATATAGGGCAATGATGTGGTTGTACTACCGGCTCTGAAGTCATGCGTAAGGTTGTAAAGTACAAGTGAATCTCTATATATTAGTGGAATAACTACACACAACACAACTTACCCTTCGTTGCGACTCCAGTCGCTGCGCACACAGAGATGCTTATGAACGGGATCAGGGGAATAACCCTCATGACAGCTACATTCTCCTGCCGTACAGAGAAAAACAAACATGCACAGTGGCAGATATTTATCTATCACCCTGATCTCTTCATTTATTAGAGATGTACCAAACTAAATGTTACATGATGTAAAACCTAATTCTTTTCAGGCAAATATTGTACCTAGATTTATTTCTGTCATGTTGATTGTGCAGTAATTGCCATATTCACTACTGTTTTACTTCCAGATTACAATTCAATACTTCAGTTGTATATATTTAACACCAGTTCATGCCTGTAGCCGTCTCAAGATGCTTTATACTGAAAGGAAAAGACTTTACACCATTAGAGAGAGAACATAATTAAAATATTCTTTATAATCAGTTTTCTATGTGAATGGCTTGGTTGTCAAGGGGAAAGTGAAGCTAGAAAAGAATAGCATATGGAGACAACCACAGCAACAACAACAAAAAAGACAACATATAAACAGCAGGAGAAATTCGACAATTAATGATATGTAATACTGTCATATCAATAATATTCAGGTATAAAAAGTGGGAACTAAAAGAGAAGCTCACAGTGGATGATACCAAATCTCCAAGGGTGAGTTCAGGGTCACCTGATCTAGCCCTAACTATAGAAAAAGGGAACCAAAAGAAAGTTTAAAGCCTCATCTTCAATGGACAGAGGGCATCTGTCTCAGGACCCCTAGCTGTGAGCCAGCTGAACAGTAGAGGATTTATACATCGGGGAAACCAAACCACCTCTGGCTAAGCGGATGGCACAACACAGAAGAGCTACCTCATCAGGCCAGGACTCCTCAGTCTATTTACACCTACAGACCAGTGCACACTCTTTCAATGAGGAGGATGTACACATCCTGGACAGGGAGGAACGTTGGTTTGAGCGCAGAGTCAAGGAGGCCATTTACGTGAAAAGGGAAAGACCATTTCTGAATCGAGGAGGGGGCCTAAGGGTATATCTTTCGCCATCTTACAATGCTGTGGTTGCAGCCATTCCCCAACTCTCTCTGAATGGTACTCATGGCCATTGATCAGTGGTCTTTGATCAGTGGGTTTTGGTCAGTGGTTGTTGATCAATGGTCATGAGAATTTGCACAATTAAGATTAAGGAACTGACCTCCCAGCCCATTGTTCCTTCAGTGGGCTGGTTTCAGTCATTATGCAAATGTACTGTTTATAAGATTGGGGAAACCTGCAGTCAGCTGAGGCTAAAGAAGTCACTTGGATGAGTGACGAAACGTTTCTCCCACAAAACGCTACGTCCAGATGAACAGAATCAACTTTTGGAGATTTACTTTCCTGGATGATTGAGCATGCATCAAGACATAATCTAAAATAAATTGATCATTTTTAAAAATGAACCATTAATTTATCTGAGTTATCTGAACAGTCTTGTACAGATGCGGTTTGTAGACATGGTGATGCTGAGAGAGATCAATAGGAGTGAATGAGTTTAAATTAAAATTTGCAGTTTATAAAGCTGCTGTACTTGATGATGCCTTTGCGAGTATGAGTAAAACTTTATTTGTAAAGAAGTTAACAAAATCATTACCACGGAAAAGAACATACAAGGTTCAACAGAGCTATGGCTCTTTGTCAGAGTGGCTATGAACCTTGGGTCGTTTTTCTTTTCTTCTATCAATGATGAATAGTAGCTAGTATGAGCCTCACAGTGGGCATTTTTAAAAAAATAAATTAATCAACTCTTTCCAGGCTAGGTGAATTTCCTATAAATTAGTGAAACGCCACTTCCTTTCCAGCTTGTGGGTTTTTAAATCGTTCCAATAACTCAAACTTGTCTGATATGTTGCTTTATTTTGCAGAGGCACCTTTGCTGTGAGGCTGCAGCACTATAACCATGGCACATTGTATTTTATCTATCTATCTATCTATCTATCTCTCTCTCCCTCCATCCCTCTCTCCATCCATCTATCCATCTCTCCATCCCTCCCTTGGTTGCATTAAGTAAATTATACAATATGACTGTTATCAGTGCATCTCCTTTCAAACAGCTGAAGTCTCAGTCAGCATTGAAAAGACAAAGCAGTAACATGTGATTAGTTACACATGCGCTGATCAGTGTCATGAATTCCACTGAGAATCTGACAACTGGCTTTCTGTTTTCTCCCAATATTAGGACAAATCTTTCATCATCCTCAACTAAGGCATTTTTATCCTGGCTTCTCTACAGCTGGTGGGACAGATTGCACTGCAGAACAAACAGAGACGTTCAGACAGGGCTACAGCAGCTTTTTGCTGGTGCATAGCAGTTTAGGATTTACATTTCTGATGCTGCTTTCCTTGAGTAGCACTGAAGTTTAAAACCCCTTATTTTCAATATTGAAATTTCCTCATCAGATCAGTCACAGTGGGTAATTAGTATTTCGATGTGATCTTTATGCTGCCTAGTATAATAAATAAAATAGAGGCAAGTGCATTTTAAGTGATTGTATACATTTGTGAGATTTTGCCAAGGATGGCTTCTATAACCGTTGCATTGAAGTGCTCCCAGAATAAGTGCTTTTTGTTGACCTGTACAGAGGGATAACCCTGGAAAAATGTGTAATGGCCACCCTGTCTAGGCCATTCAAATTTTATCACTTAACGTTTAATAATTCATTGGTTGATATTATAGTCTTGAGACTGACTCAAGGAGTGATGCACCATCAAGATTCTGTCAAAGAGTAGCTTTCAGTGTGGCCTTGCTAAATGAAAAACTAAAGCTCTTGAAATGGTTCCATTTTTTAAAGTAGTAGTAAAATATCACAACATTCATCCAACCATTTCATATAAAAGATCAATGAACAGCATAGAGTTTAATTAATCCAATCCAAGACTTTAGAGTGCTGTGGAAAAGTATTTACCCCTTCCTGATGTCTTATTTTTGCATATTTGTCACACTGAAATGTTTTGGATCACATAGGACCAAACCTATTTGGTCCTATGTGATCCTCATGCAGTTATTAAAAGTGTTTAACCTCTTTTTTTGGAAAGCTGAGTTAAATTTTACTAGTCACGCACAACCAGACATGTTAAATAAAGAAATCACTGTCAGACAATGTGAAGTAGTCTAAAAGATCCCAAAAAGCAACATACTATACAACAAAGTCATTTATATCTATCACTTTGAAAAGAGTTACTAAGCCACTTCTAAGGCTTTATGACTAGCAACTGTCCACAAATGGAGAAAATCTGGAACAGTGTTTGCAGCCTGCTACTGCTAACATAAAACTCAGCATTTCATAAAACGAACATCATATCAACTGTCAAAATGGTGGTGGTAGGGTGATGGTTTGGGGCTACTTTGCTGCTTCAGGACCTGGTTGACTTGCCGTAATAGAGAGAACCATGAATTCCTTCTTTGAGTTCTCTACCAGAAATTCCTGAAGGAGTATGTCCGCCCATCAGTTAATGGCCTAAGGCTCAAGTACAATTGGGTTATACAGCAGGACACAGCAGCAAGTGTGACTGCAGTTCTTGCTACCAAGAGTGGCAAAACCACTTATTAGGTTTAGGGCTAAATTACTTTTTCCACATAGGTCAAGGTAGGTTTTGATGAGTTTTGGTGAATTAATTCATCTTTTCAAATCTGCATTTTATAATTAATTTTTTTATATTAGTCTAACATTAAAGACTGTTTGATGATCTGAAACGTATGAAGAAAATTAGAAAAGGCAAAAATACTTTTTTATATCACTGTCTTTTTAATAACTTGTGATATTCCTTTCTGTCCAGATTGCCACATTCTTTAACTGCGGTCTTCCAACACAGCCTTTTTAAACAGGGATGTATTGGGAAAGAAATTCAGAAAACAATATGCTCTCATGCACAACCCAAACGGCAGGCGGATAAAGAGGATCAGTAAGGGACAGGCAGGCCTTTATGGACTTTTTGGCAGTAAACCAGCTAATCAGATTTTGTCCCAGTACACCTGATGGCCAGTGCGCCACTGCCTATGGACAAATACTGCTCACAAAACACCATGGTTGGTTTTGTTACACTAAACTACATTAAAGTCAGGGAAATATTAAGGTTTGTGTTAAAATTACTACTCTGCCACTAAAGCTCATCATTTTTGGGAAACAGATATCCTTTTCATGTTGCAAACACGCACACGCACACACACACACACTTCACGTTCCCATTGCTAGTCTTCACATACATATTTAACCTAGTTATACTGCATTCCTTCAGACTGCCAGAGGCTGCGCTTAGAAAAATCAATCTTGTGCATAAGCAGTCACATCACATGTTACCACACATGTTGGTAAGGTACCCTTATTATTATATTCTTTTCTTTCTCCTTGAAGTCTGGTAGGAACAGGGAACATTTCCATTATTATGTTAGTGCCAGAGTAGCAACAGTGATGCAACCTGAATTATTTGTTTTGTTGCATATATCAGCAAAAATGCAATAGAAGCAAAACACATTCAGAGTGCCATCGATTTTAGAATCTGGTGTTGTTAAATACTGTAGTCCAGTTGTGTTTGTGTTTAGAAGATACTGTCACGCTCCTGGGTCTCCTGACCCAGCGTTTTTAGTTCTTTGTGATTTTTGTATTATTGTACTTGTGTGTGATCTATTCTATGGCTTTTAGTTTTGATCCCTTGCCCTTCATGTCTCTCTGTGTCCCCTCTGTTCTGTGTAATTGTGTGTCTTTGCATGTTTGAGTTTCTTGTTTTCTGTCGCTCTGCATTGTGCATTATGTTCTCATGGTTGGTTTTTTGTTACTCTCTCTAGTCTAGTCTCTTGTGTTCCCAGCTGAGTATTTCCCTGTGTATTTTGGTTCTTAGACCTCTGCCTTATGGTTTTTGTCTCTGTTTCTTAGTTGTTGTCTCCACTGTGTCAAGTTTGCGTCTCTGTGTGATACTTCCTGTTTTACTTTGATGGTCCGTGTCTCATGTGAATGCGTCCTGCTTTGCTTGTCTCGTCAGTCCTGATTTCTCCCAGCTGTGCCCTCCTTCTGTGTCTCATTCCCCTCGTTACTTCCCAGTGTATTTAAACCCTGTGTTTCTCTGAGTCAG